TTAGCTATCTTCTCTACAGTAGATGGTTTATCTCTCTCTCTCTCTATTCTTCTGACGAGCCATAATTTTTCTCAAATATCGTTATAGATTGTGCGATGAATTTAGTTTTTCTAACGGCACGTGGCTATGTGCATGAACCGTCTAAAAATCTCGAAAACAAGTCCGTTTTCACGTACTAACGCCACGCTATGTCCATTGCATTGTTGCTACAGTCCATTCTCGCCGTTGAGTAGGCGTGTCTGAGTCCTACAGGAACGTCGGGTCGTGTATCCTCCTCAGGCGGATTGGACGTGGCACCGCCGTACTTGATAGAAGTCGCGTGGATAAGCTGTTTCTAACATGCTCCGCTGATTTTCAGCAAAGTATGTTGGAAACAGCTTATCCACGGTACTTCTATCAAGTGCGATGGCCGCCACGTCAAGTTCGTAGACCCGCCTAATCAAATGGCGAGATATGGACTGTAACCGTAAGCATTATTCGTCGGATCGAGCTTCATTTTTTGGTTTTCGTTTTGTTTGAAACTAACACTTGTGTTAATATCAAGGTGTCAGTGTCGTGATAACCACAATGAGGCGCTATGCCTCTGCTCATGGTCTCCTGGAGAGTGTGTACGATCCGCAGCACAGCCGGGTAACACCGAATCAGCTGAAGGCTCTGTAAGTAACAAGTAACAATTATCACCTAACATTACGGTGTCGGCAGTTGTCCAAAAAGGTTTTGTATGTGACAATCGCCCTGCATGATTGTTTAGTCGTCGCATGTGCTTCGAAATTTGTTCAAATGCATGTCGCATGAGCTTCACACTTTCATGTGCTCCTATGTAGTCTTATCGGTTCCGACCGGATTGTTGAAGGGCTTCAAAGTTAGCTTCAAATTTTGTAATCATCGATCCACGTCTTGCAGTCTCACGGGCTCATCATCGATTTCACGACATCCGGCCGAACAAGTCGACAGTGCGCCATCCGTACAAACTCTAGCTCCAATGGGAACGGCTCAAGCATTCAACGGTGTGCCGCCGTCCGGCATGGGACCGAATCTGCCTCTATCCCTTCAGATCGGAGACTACAAAGTTTGGGACTACTTAGTTGAGGTCAGAAAATTTCTTAGTACCAGCTGAATCGTAACCATTTTAGTGATAAGCTGAGATTGGTTCAGGTGATGTCGAGAGGTTGGATAGATGCTGGCACGTTTCGCCTATCACCAGCCTATTCGTTGTACTTGGCACTGCGATTCTTCCAATCGCACTCGAAGCCCTATCTGGTCCAGTTCTTCACCCGCATTGCTCATCACATGAATCAAATCTCACAGGTTTGTCGCTTATGGTGTTTGTCCTTTTTAGTACCCCGGTTTATGACTCGTGGTAGGCAAATAGAGGTGGTCTAGTGCTTTTGAAGCTTGTTGTGGGGACGTGGGTTCCATTGTGGAATCATATACGGAGAAATTCGATTGAACGACATATCCGCCTGTTAGCGCTGATAAGCGCTGGGGACCATATATTACTGTCCAGTGTCGTATTCAAAGAGCATCGAGATGGTTAGGTCCGAAGTAAGGGGTAAAATCCTCGATCATAGCCCCTTATTACTGACAGGTTCTTGGTAGATTTTCGATGAAAGGGTGGTGTGGGCTACATCGATGTGAAAGCGTCAATGAAATTTGAAATTCAGTGAATTCCTCGCGCAGCTGGGTCCTAGTTGTCACCTTCATTTCAATTCCTACCTTCATCCTACCTTACCCTCCCATCCTGTGTGTGAGTTTCCTAAAAAGCCTATCGGTTGGAGTGGGTTATACATTTCTGCAGCTCTCCTCCTTTCACTAAATTTCGTGTAAACATCCAATGTTTCTTCTGAATTAATGAAAAAAGCCTCTCTTCTACCCTTACTCCGCTCCATCAATGACTTGGCGCACAATTTTGATGGGAAATTTATTTTTGTCCCTTATAATTCCCAACTTTGAGAACGTTTTCGTCTTCGTTGTTTTGCTTCCGTTTTGAGCTTATTCCAAATTCCAAAGTTCTTGATTAAATAATCACCCTTACGCGTAATTCAGGATTGCACATCCAGAGAGGAGCTATTATTCTGGTTGGCAAATGCAAGCGAGTTGTCGTTTTTGGTTGAACGGGATCCAGACCTACGCACACCCAGGTGAGTGCTATACTAGTGGGAAGGTCGTCTTTGTGAAAAGTAAGGGATGCGAATTTTAGAGCAGGCCAACTTGGGACGGTTGTTGAAACAGTGTTTCGACGGTTATGTACTGTTCTCCTTGGAGCGCTTCGACCCGCCTGTAAACCAATGTTGGACATAAACATTCCAATCGAGGATGGCAGCAGTAAGTTAACTATGCGTTCGTCTTTTTTGTTCCTTAAACTTTTTACATAATAATTTCCTTAGAAGCAAAGGTCTCAATGGACATTCTCGAAAAGTTGTTCCTTTTTGATGTCATTTGTTTTTTGTGGTTCCTAGTGAAATTCATATGGAAGCAAACGGCCCCTTAGTCGATTGCTGACTTGCCTATTATGGAAGGTCAACGGGCTTCCTTCGCGTGTTCTTGACGGATTGCCTTACTTTTTTTAGTTACTGGGGCATTCTTCGGCATCCCACTTCCACTATGAACCCAACCCAATCTCATCGCAAGTCCCTCGCATTTAATTAATGCGAGACAAGGTGTTACAAACTACTTTACACAGCTATGTGGGCAGCGGTAGAGCCACCCAGGGGCCTCCCCTCTATTATGCGCCACGCATTCACTTCCATTCGTGGTCGCGATGCCATTTAAATGCGCTTTGGCCCATCCACTGGCTAGCGGGGAGCTAGCCAGTGTACCAATTAGCTTTTTTATTCCTCTAGATTGTTATCAAGACAAGTACATTATCGAGTAATTATGCGTGTATTCAGTAGTTAAACTAATTCTTTTTAGAAGATTGTATTGCTAGATTCAAAGAGAATGCTATAATGATAACCTGGCTCAAAATGAGATTCAGATGAACTTCTGTCGCTGCTGGACGGTACGCTACGTGCAGCTCGAGCTTCCCGATTAAATGCTGCATTAACGATACAGTTGTGCCAGTCACGTACTTCACGCAATCAATGCTACGATTTTCAATGCTTTAGTTGGAGTTTCGTCATCGGTAAGTATAGGTTTTCCAAATAAGTTTAAACATGAAGTTTCTGTCAGTCGGGGTTTGTGAGATCGAGACGGGTGCTATCGCGCTGCGATTTTGTTAGTAAATCGCTCACACGCCACCTCAATGGTTGGGCCTGTTGACAACTTTCGCTTTGGAACTGACTGACTGTGTGCTTGTTTTCAGCCGTTCGTCTGACAACACGATTAGGAAATGTTACAAGCTCGATGGCAGCTTACATGGGTAAGAACTTTCGCGGTCTTTACCTGAAATTTGACGGGGAAGTGGTTAGAGGCGGCCATTTTGATGTCCATCTTGAGCGGGAGTACGGTATTTGTTTTGATCTCTTGATCAGGATGTACCGTAAGAATGTAAAAAGATGCAAGGTAGTTGGTAGAGACAGCGCTTTTCCAGATGGGCCGAACAAATGGGTGTCGAGTTGGCGGCCGAATGTCATCTGGACCGAAGTCGGCAAGCGGCTGCTCTTTTAGCTGCCAGAAAACGACGTCGCAGCACTTGGGGCCACCTGTTACAAATTGAACAGCTTGCAGGTTAGTTCATTCTGCTAACCACTGCAAGTTTTGGAAGTCAGTCTACGTTTTGGTCCTTGGAGCTTTTAAGTGAAGAGACAAGGCTCATACAAAAAAAAAAAAAAAAAAAAAAAAAAAAAAAAAAAAAAAAAAAAAAAAAAAAAAAAAAAAAAAAAAAAAAAAAAAAAAAAAAAAAAAAAAAAAAAAAAAAAAAAAAAAAAAAAAAAAAAAAAAAAAAAAAAAAAAAAAAAAAAAAAAAAAAAAAAAAAAAAAAAAAAAAAAAAAAAAAAAAAAAAAAAAAAAAAAAAAAAAAAAAAAAAAAAAAAAAAAAAAAAAAAAAAAAAAAAAAAAAAAAAAAAAAAAAAAAAAAAAAAAAAAAAAAAAAAAAAAAAAAAACAAACACAACATAATGAGTATAAGCAGTAAAGGTAATTACCGTAATGATCCGACAAATACACTCTCCTTCTTTCTCTCCATTGTGTTTGTCTGATATTTGTTAAATGTCACTGAAATGTTCTCTGTTTTAACGGAGATACGATTTGGCAGCACAGATTATCGATTGCTGGCAAGCTGAAGTAGGAGAGTCCATGCGGAATATGTTGCATGTTGCGTATAGCACTGATCATAGTCTTGTCTGGACCGCTTAACTCGTCAGCGGATCATGCTCTTACCAGTTAAGGTGAATTTCACTTCGGGACTATTCACCCCCGTCGAGCTTGCGTGGATGTCCTTGGAGTGTTTCAAAGCCAAGGCAGTATCATCTAAGATGGTATCCGATACACTGCTGAATCAGAGCAACTAGTTTACCATTCTGCTACCGCAAGACGGCGAGTATACCGCTGGTAAGGTGCAGCGCCGAGAGAGTGCAGTTCGGTTTCAGAAATCTGGTCTTTCATGTTAACTGCTAATATATGATCTGTCATGGATGGAAGTGAACCAATCTCTCGATTTCCCTGTCACCTTATCCGCGACATGACCCATGAGATTACAAGTGTTTTGGTGTGACTAATTTTGGTAGACAAGCTTGAGCCCTGACCAGCAGAGATAGACTCAGGCCCCAGTCCCTGCTGCGATCAGCAATGCTCGATACAATTCTGGGGGCGGAGGTGGGCTGGGGGGAATTCAGATACCGCGCCTAAGCAGTCCATCCACTTATCTGTTGTTAGCGGTAATTGTCTCAATCCAAGTTTGGTATGCTTTAATCAGAACCGCTATACGTCTTCGGTCTGTGACAGTAATTCCGCTTGCATTCACACTATCCTTTGCTATTTTCCCAGTCCACAGTGAGACAGGCTCTAAGAAAAAAAAAACTGTTGAGCGGATTGAGTTCGCAACCCCTTCACCGATCCGGCGTCACGACCCTTTCGCGCCCCGTTACTTCTCCTCCTTCGCCTTCCTCCCACCACCCAGCCAATCACAGTTTTTGACGCACTGATTTGATGCTATGTTTGAATCGCTTGTACAGCTATCTCCTCCCTTGGCTTGGACTTTCACTCCTAATTTTCTTTTCCTCTGTTTTTATTCTTTTGTGCCTCATTTAGCTCTTTTAGAGCAACTTCGAGGTGTTCCGGATGGACTTGTCCAGTACTTGCTATCACTACAGGACAAGGGTTTGTGCCATTCGGTGTCTGTTCAAGAATCGAGTTTGGCCACATGGCGTGCGTCGCCGTTGGTGAATAGCACGAACGTTCAGGTGGGTGTATTTTTCTCTTCAGTGATATCTGATTCCCCTTTGTGACCAAGACAATCCTTTTTGTGGTTTCTAGTTCCGCACTTGATTTTATTGATAGGTTTTTTTGAAATGTCCTTACCTACGTCGCTGTTTGTGAGGTCCTTCTAGTCGGCCGTTTATCGCAAGTACATCGGTAGTGTACTTAACGTGATTTATTGCCGCTTCTCGTTTTTTATTTCTCCTTCTTCATTAGCAACGCTATTTTTTCATACATTTTTGCACCCTTCAGCAACGACCACCTGTTCAAACTGCCCCAGGGCCTTCACCACAGTTGCCACTGAAATCGGCAGTTCAACGAACTCCATCGCAATCGACACTGACCAGTCTTCCAACGACGCACTTTGTAAGTGGATTTCATCTGTTCGGGTCTTTTGTTGACATTTTTATTTGTTGTATTTCTAAATTTAGCTTCCATTTAGGGTGATAGCTTCGGTAGCATGAACGACGAGGTGATTCGAGTAGTGTTGAAACGAGGTACAGGTGGAATTGGACTCAGTATTGTGGCTGCTCAGGTAAGAACATTATTTATACTCTTGATTTAATTTCTAGTACTTTATCTTATGAAGTTTTGGATATATATTTTATCGATTTTCTAATTGATCGATCAATTTGCTGAACTCAGTTCTGTTCGATTTTTCAATTGTAACGGCGTTTTTGCATGTGCAACACTTTCGCCAACTAATTGAATGGAACTGTCCTAAATTGTACTCATATTCTGCGTTTGTCTCTTTGTGGTGGTCCAGGGTCGCCACGAAACGTTACAGATTTTATTTTGTTGCTTGGCTGAATTCATAGATACAGCGGGAAGCGTAGAGATGTAAAGACATCTGTGGAAATTGAGCTCACGGGAATCGCCTTGTAATCTCGGAGCACTGAAGCATGTTGACGTGTTTCTGAACATCGCGACGCGACCGCACGCGTCGATGCTTGCAGACCTCAGTTCTAGAGTGGAGAGTATGCGTTGTTTTGGCCCCGATATTCTGGAAGTTCTTTGACTACTAATACATAGTAAACAGATGAGCCGCAAATTTGGAAAACTGATTACAGCGATAATTCAGTGCTGTGCGGAAAAGATATGTTAGTGTACATGAGGTGACCTCCCCTTCAAAAAGCGAGAAAGTGTCGGGTGCAGACCAAACACCACAACTGACGACGGCCTCCAAGTAAATCTGGTTAGAAGTTCATAGTGATAGCTGATTTCTGGTAAATGATAGTTGTAATTAGTGACAATCTGATAGAATACAACTGCAACAGGCTAATCATTTCATTGGCAGAAAACATTTACATTTTGTGAAGGCCGTCGTCACTTGTGGTGTATGGTCTGCACCCGACACTTTCTCGCTTTTTGAAGGGGAGGGTATCAATTGATTTAGTCATTTAGCAATAAGTTCAACTTTTTTAACACGTTGGAGACCGCGCATGTTTTACGTTTTGCGGCCGCGTGGGACTTCAGTGAAATTTTTAGGAATCTTATCAAGCAAATTGGAAGAAAAACTTACTGTATGATGCAGAAGAAACCTTACC